AGTATGCTTTTACCCATAGACTACATGATGGGACTTTTATTCCCCAAAACCACAGAACAGTGCATGCGTAAATAAACTTTTCGACGAGCAAGATTATCTTTGCCATGAAATAGCAGAACCTACCATTGAAGTTACTCCTTTACTTATCGGCAGACTGCAGCTCTATGCGCATGGAGGATTTCTGCGAGCCAAACGCGGTTGTTAGTAGTCCTAGGAGGGTGAAAGTAAGTATCGTGATAAGGACTTCATCATCTAAGTTCTATGTTTGCATCAATTGTTGAAGCGTTCATCGTATGCTCTCTACCACTAATTTGTAAATGCATTTAACCTCCTTCATTAGGCGCACCCACTTTTGAACATTTTCGACTTCAAATTTGCTCAATACGGAGGAATTCAAGGCGATAAGCAAGGTTTACAAATGCATAAGCTTATGCCTTCATCTACTCATAAACGTCGCGCATATTTGAAGGTGAATGTTATTAAGGGAGGCTCTAATAATCCTTCCCTGCACAAAAGTCGCTTTAACCAGACGTTTTCGCACAAGCAAATTATGAGATTTCATCAACGAAATGCTCCAACTATTTACGTCTTGCAAAATCTTCTCGATGTTCGCGTTTATGAGTGCCGCAATAATAAAATAGTTTCTGCAGAATGCATTAACGAGAGAAGGTTTTCGTAGTCACTTACAGTTTATCTTTGGCATTTTACTTGCATTACATTCGTAAAAGCCTTTTAAAGGAAGTGACTTCGTCTTTAATTTCATACTTCTCTTCGATCTACTTGAGCAGTACAAATTCATCTGCTGTCCAACATTTCTCGTCCCGACACGTATTTGCACTCTTGTGGACCACCAATTTATCACAATTTTCTTGACTTTCCTGTTGCCTCCACTTCATCGTATGGTGTACACGGCTTATGACTTATCACACGAACTTGCCATCTTTTGCATACATTACTAAATGCATCGAGACAGCAAATACTTTCCATCCTCCAGTTCCTCCTGGTTTGACTGGTGAAAGCTCACGTGTAGTTGTGCGGACCTTTTTGCATAAGTGTAAAGAATTGTTAGATCTTGTTAGTCCCACACCACATTTTACTCAATCAGACCGTTGGGATTGCAGCCTTTCTCTATCCACGCAAAGTCTGCAAGGATAGATGGACGAATTCGATTTTTAGCGGCTACTTTGTAATTTAATACATAAATTGGCAGAATAAGGCAGAAACTCACACTGTGAGGTGCAGATCCGATGTATCGTCGGCTTAAAATTTATGCTGAAAGGCCTTTTAACATAGACCTTTGCCTTTTCTACTGCACGCAGTTAGTGTCCTGAAACGTTGTTTTCCATCATCATGCGGTGAGGTGCTTTTGCTGTTTACATCTACTCAAAATAATGCAGTAGGGGGTTTCGGAGAGGGAAGGGTTGATGCTTGCATATTTTAGGGAGACTTCGCCTTGACTCACTTACGCTCGTCTTTCGTAAACTCAGGTGCCCGTCCACTTCCAGCAACACCCCGACCCTGGCAGCCCTCATCAAACTACTTTCGAATTTCTCTTCTACTTCCGTAATGACGGTCTTTAATTTATAAAGGCTAAACGTTTATGTAAAATTTTTAGTTGCACTTTATGATATTTTGATGGGTGCCCATGACCACTTCTCATCCTCAACTAGGCTTTAGGGCCAATTTTACAACACATTTCGAACGACACCTTCAACGATTGCGCGAGTTGAAGTAAAACAGCAAAGCTGTTTGATAGTACCGGCATGTCCTTTGACCCTGCACGTCACTGCAAATAAGACAAGTTATGAATGCGCATATGCAATCCGTGACAACTTAGTTCTGCTGGTTTTTGAAAAAAGTTATCAGTTACTTGTCTAATGCCCCATGCACTTTCTCTCGGTTCAGCTACCGCGGATCATCCTCTGTGACGCAGACAATGGCCATCTACGCATACATCTATGCAACATACGCAGAGGTGCCGATCACCAACATGACAGAGAACATGAGTGCCTGGTTGACGGTGTGCCTTGCTCTAGAGCGCTACGTAGCGATGCGCCACTGGAATTTTACCCGGCAATACTGTACGCGACAAAACACTAAACGGCTCATCGTCGGCATCGCTCTTGTCTCTGTCTTCTTCAATCTCCCTTACTTTATGATCCATCGCATCGAGTTCAGACGATTTACCAATGGATCCATGCGGGTTGTCACCAACCCCACGGCTCTCCGACGCTCCCAATTCTATACTGTTTACTCATGGTTTCGTATGATCGCCGTCCAAATTATCCCCCTTGTCTTCTTGTGCATTCTCAATGTTCTTCTCATCACCATAGTCTACCAACATAACAAAAAGATTGGTAAGAACACGGTGATGAAAGGGAAGGACAATCGATTGTCGCTATGTACGGAGGGATCCGGGGCTGAGGAAGCATCCTTAAAAGAAACCACTGTGGGTGATTCACGATCTACACAACGCCGCCAGAAGAAGCGTAATGCTCAAAGGAAGTTAAACATCCTCCTTATAGCCATAATTTTGCTTTTTCTCTTTGGCGCTATTCCCCAAGCCTTCTCGTATATTCGCATCTTTGAGGCATTTGGAACGTGTAAAGAGGCATTTCACTACTGTCCCACGTATGTTATCTACCGAATGGTGACCACAAATATTGCTCTAATCAGCTACGGACTTACATTCTTTTTATATTTCTTTCTCAATCGGCATTTTCGAAATGAGTTGCAAAAGTGTATCTAACCATGATGAAGTTTTCTACTAACAATACCAATGTGTAAATTTGGCAACCAATTTCCTCAATAAAGTTTTCATGTAAAGCAGTGTAAATAGTGTTTTGAAGCATTACAATCAGTCATTCCTAGCAGCCTATGGACTTTGTCGTCGTCCTTAATCTATTGTTGAAAAAAGTGGGAACAAGTGAAGCACAATCCCCGAATTCGAGGTCCAACCAGTATCAATCGGTGCGTGTATCTTAGTGGAGAAGCATTTTGCTTACCAGCTAAGAAACCTACAATGTTGCCGGTAATTATGAAAAGGAAACTCGTAGCCATGAGTACACAAACTCGTTGTTGATTGTACAATTAAAGAGGAAACGCCTTCCAACATCCGAAGCTGATCCAGTAAAACCTTTAGCGTTTGCCTTTTAAGCCGAATAACACCACCTTACGTCACCCGGGCTCACTTCACTTACACCTTAAAAATCCTTCTGCGTGCATTTTAACGGAAGTTTTCTCACAACAAAAAACGACTTGGAACAAATATTTGTTTATTTGATTCCATTGCTATGCACACGACAATGCGGTCAATTGAAGAGAATTTGTTTAAAAATTACACTTTGCACCCATCATTGAGAGAAGTTTGAAGGTCCCAACTTTTGCCGCAGTTCTGATCTGCCTACTTTGGGAGACTTGCAAGTTCGTGTGTTACATCGAGCGCACCAGAAGTTGGCGTGGCTCACTTCCCGTAAAAACATCCTCTTAAACAGTCCTTTTTCTTCTTTGCCCATCGTTTTTCTCTCATTGAAAGACTGATGCTGCTGCCGCTCATTTATGTGCTTTTGCAGTAATGGTAAAACATCCTTAGGCAGAGCTGAGTTGCGAAAGATGGAATTGGTAAAACCATTTAAGTCTGGTACTCAGTAAAATTTACAACTCTCTCGAAGTTACCTTGAAGAATTATAAGCTAGGCTTGACATGAAAAATTTATCGAGGGTCACACGTTGCATTCAGAAGGCATCTTTGGTGTACTTCGCTGTAACCTACAAGGGAATCGCATCTGTCTGTCTGCAAAAGTTTCTGTCCACGAGTGCTGAGGACTTGGACTACGCGCCTCGCGGCCCACCCGCACAAGTGATGCCCAGCTGTAAAGTGGTGCTGCCTTTGAATGTCGCCTATAAGTCACAACAAATGTTGCCCAACAGGGCATTCCGCAATTTATAGATTAGTCATTGTGAGTCTGGCTATTTTGTTAATTAATGCTCTGCGCAGCATGTGTTTCCATGGCCGCGATAGCAACAACCCCTGACCATGCACATTTAGGGGTTTGGGCGCTCAGTGCCCTACCTTACAGCGATCCCCGAAATGGTTCAGCGCTAGCCCCTCTTAGACATGTGGTTGCTCTTTTAAAACAATGGCACAGGATTTCCATGTGGAATTGTTCACCACCTTTGCCGAATTAAGCCCTTTCTTTCGGAATAAAAGCGCAGAGAGCTAAAAGAGGTTAGGAATAATGAAGTCCAGTTGTCATTAAAAGTGCGCTATTCGCTCGGTTTCCCATCTTAATCTGAAAACAGACATCACAACCCTTTCAAAAAGAGTTAAGTAAATTGATTCTTCTGTTATTCTACTAATGACGCCGTTACTTAGGCATACAAAATTAGCACAATACAGCTTCAAAATTTCGGTTGTTGATGTTAATTATACAATGCTGCCTTGAGCAGCCATTTCCTCAGAGGTCTGTTGTATCATTCTGATCTTTCGAGCTTTCGGCACTGGAGGTAGCCTCTCCACACATGCAACGTCGCACTCCCTCTCCAGTTTCTCAAACTCAAACAAGCTCATCATATCGCGCTCCGTGATACACTTTCCACATTCGTGGGGCAGAAAGTCCCTATACATATCTTCAAATTCTGAGGATGTGGATTCTGTGACAGAAGTAGAAGAGAGTATCTTTACTTCTCCGTTCGGATGCTGTTGATCCGCCCATTGGCGTAGGTAAGTAGGCCACGGAGTTTGTATGGGAGTGTGAGATTTGTAGGGGGACCAGTCTTCACATGGAGTGGCACCTTGGAAAAACACATTTTTTGTGCTCATTGGTTTGGAAATCCATCGAAATGTCGGCTTCTTAACTCGCATTTTTTGTCTTTTAATTGAAACTTCAAAACTCTGCTTAGGCGTTTCAATTGGTATGGATGGTTTCAAAGATGGCAAGTCCGTCGCTTTGAAAGGAGAAAAATTCTCTTCATTCCCAACTTTTTGTTCAACCATTAGATCGTACTTATTTGCCTTGGGGTTTGGAAAACAACGTGTGTCCTCCGATGTGATAAGAAGGCTTTCAGATCCGTCTAAAGGCGAGTGGACACAACAATTGGCCTGCTGATGTGCGTTGGGGTTGGGGAAAAGTCCTCTGGTACTTGACTTGTACACCCTCGTTGGATGGAATTGGTGAAGCGCTGCGCATTCAGAACAGCAATCGCATTCTGAGCCCGACTTAGACTCGCGACCTCCCATTGTCCAGTTGAACCGCTACGCCTTGTTCGGAATGAATGCAAAGGCTAGCACAGAATTCATCTCGCTCTATTGATTAGACAGGTTCAAATTTTTAAAACAACTCATTGATCTGGATAAATGGTGCGGAGGAAGAATTCAGAACTGTCACCTGAAAGTCAATTTGAGTATCTCATTGCTAAAGAGTTTAACTTCTTTAAGTCGTTGAAAATTAGTTGATAACTCATTTCTATTCCAGGACAGTCTTGAAGAGTTTGAAAACTGCCGTAAGGCAATTCCTAATTCTACATGGCGGCATAACTCCCAGACAATGCTCTTGACATCTCAGCGCCTCTGTAAGCTCTAAAACTGTTTTATTTTGACTGTTTTGGCTTATTACGACTTCAAAGCTGACTCAGACGCTGAGTTCTATCTACTTGCTTGTTTTTGTTTTTAACAAAATGTACGTGTCTTTTGTCCTCTCGAGATTTGTTATAAGTTACGTGCTTTAATTTTCGGCTTGCTGAATTAGTAGGCGCATGAGCATTATCGATAGTAAAGGGCACTTGGGCAGCATAGCCGGACACAATTCTTTCCTTGTCTGCATTGTGAAAATACTCCCTGCATACGGATTTGGAGATTCGCAAGAGGCTCACTTTCCTCCAAATCGAGAATTACTTTTCGTGTAACTTTTGCAATGTGGAATTCATACCTCCGCAGTTCTAATTCCTCCCTTGAACACCCTGCATTGCCGAGGCATAGTTGAGGGTCATTCCCTTCCTCGTCTGCCACGGATCCCCACTCATGGATTATTGAGGCAGGCCGTCACGTAATCCCATCGCTTATTTCGCATTCTTAAACGACTATAAGCATACAAGTTTGTACAGCTACATGGTTACCGCACCGCCCTAGCTACACCCATTTAAGGAGGCGCACTACCAATGATGACCCAAGCCACCATCAGGGCACTGTAAAACGACCAAAATGATTTTTATGAAGTTTCAGATTTCTGCAAACCTACGCCAAACACTTACCAACGAAATTCAAATCTTCTTTCTCCTCTAGAGCTACCAGTTATCCAGTAGGCTAGCGGCGTCCTCTGACCGAAGTAAAGGGTGTAAATATCCCAGACCTTGACCAGATCCAGTCAATTTGATGGTCAAATTTTCCGCCCAAATTTTATGATCACTGATTGACAATTCCAATCAAACACCCAACAGGCCCTCTTGCATAAACACCTAGTCGTGCCGATAATAAGAGCCACTAACTTGCTAAAGCTGAGACTGTGGAAATACAACCTCATCAGGATAAATTGCTATGCTACACTTCAGAACTCGATCTACTAATTCCTTTACGTCTCAGCCTACCGTCAGATCGGAAAGAGACTAAAGAACACTCCAACGGACATGTGATGAGAAATAAGAGCAACTGCAAGAACATATACCTAATTAGCTTTCAACGAACAAAGAATCATTCAAAAGCCATTAGAGGTCTGTTCTCTACAGGCCAGGAAGGTTATCAAATACAACTAGTTACGCCTTTTTACAAAGTGACACAAAATGCAAAATCATGTTCCTACAAGGGATTGCGACGATAAAATTCCACGTAGTCGTCGACTAATTTCTTCATCTTCTCCTCAGTCACACGATTCGGCTTTTTCGAGAGAATCTGCAGTAAGGCAAAAACTATTTTTTACAACTGACTAATTCAATGTTCCACGAACTTCATAGACAACAGAATAATCAATGTAACGAAATAATCTTTTCAGTAGTACGCCCAGGGAATGCAACTTAGCCTACCCACTGATGGTGTGAGGCCATGTTCTCAAGACGAAATTAAACGAACAAAACTACTTCCGGTACTAATGACAAGTAACCTTTTTACCTTCCCTACGAAAAAAGAACTTGTTTAAAGTAAATGAAATGCTCAAAGACCAGAAAACTCTTCAGTAAACAGCCAGCCACACCTTTTCATAAAGGACTAGGACTATTACCTCATACATCTTTCCAACTCAAAGCGACCTCAAAAGTGAAACATTAAGCAAAAAATTAAAATTCCACCATCCAACACCACCTCCAATACCTTAGATAGAGTCCTCTGTATGAGACGCATCTTCGTAGTCTTATCAGTCAGTGAGGGATGAGTCCGAAGTAGGTGTGTAACCAGTAAAGCGCGGACACGTAGAGCTGCTTCCGAGGTCCACGTGGAATGGAGAGAAGTATTAGAGGTGGAGGGTTTGGCTGATACCTCCTCCGACGGAGTCAGCGATTTACCAGGGTTCGAGACTGGCAGCCCCGAAGACGGAATAGTCTGTGGTTCATCAATATTCGTAGTCAGGCAGAGCTGAGGTGGAGCCTGCTCAGAGATTAGCCCCGACGCAGTCTTTGAGTGCTTGGACTGGGGTAAAGGCGCAATTTCAGTCGGGGAGATAGAGTTATCCGGATTCACGTGCATATTTGAAATGCGAAATTGAAATAGGGAGGATTGGGCGGCCTCAAGACGGCTCAAAAGCCCCACAGAAGAGGCAGAATTGCTGATACTATTGCCATTGGAGGAGCACGGCCCCGGTCTAGAAATAAATTTACGTTTTTAGTAGTAAAACGCCTTATACTCGAATCCAAATCAAACTACAAAGCAGGTTCAGATGCAATGGTGAAGTGAGCATCAAATAGGGACCGACAGAGACCCTAATCTTCTACCACGCAACCATTATGAATAAAGCTCCCCCTCGAACATAGGAATTAAATTTCAAAATGACATTTCACAACACTTTGTCGAAAGAATTTTGCATGTAAAGCAAGGTAATACGTACTGCTCCTTGTTGCTATCATTTTCAGACTCGGAAAGCAATCTAAAACACAAATGATAAACGTTAAGTCACCAAAGATTTGGTCGTGATTCACATAAAGCACACAAACCATCAATGCATTGTGCTACAAGGTATATTATTGCAGGCACATTGTCTGTAGTTTACAATGTGAAACGGTTGAACAAGACTCCTACCCGCAATCCAACTCATTTCCCAGTATCGAAAGCTTTGGAGTGGGTAGTTTTAGATTGCTACGTCGTGCCATGCGCCCAGAATGGTTACTCGTGGACGGTAGAATCAAACCCACCGACTGAAACAGAAATACTTATCAGTTCGACGAGGCATCAATAATCACATCCATAAAAACAACATACAGAGTTCCGAATCCTCTTTTGAGATGTGATGTGCAGACGCTTTCCCCTCTTCCTCTTATGCCCTGGTGTTCTTCGCGTAACCGAAGCTTGACTTCTTCGAACATTCCCACGTGCTCTCAAAACTAAGCTTCTGTCAGCTGTCTTTGGTTTATACTTGGTGTTCTGTCTCTTTCCCCTTGCAGTTTTAGTACCACTATATCCGGACTGTTTTTTCTTCCTCGAAGCAATGTCGTGAATTTCTTCCACAATATTACTGAGATTTGGGTCAGTTGTGAATGAAGCGAAGATATCACGAGTGCTATCGTCGGCTCGACCGTTACTAGGACCCACAACGGTAGATTCCGTGGACTCAGGTGACAAAATATGATGCGAAGAACGCTGGGAAGTGATCAAAGATTATGCCTCATAAATTTTTTTGGCAACTGAATACAGGCCGCACATAACCAAGTTAATCGTTCTGTTCAAAAGGATCTTCCGCAGAGACGTGGACGAAAAAGTTATCAAGCTATATTTGACGTTTCTATATTGCTGTAGAGCCTTTCAAAGCAGTCAACACTAAGATAATTGTGCTAATCTGCATGAAGCACTATCCAAATGTTTTTACTGTAAGACCAAAGCTCACAAAAGATGGATCCTTCTGTGCTAATCAAAGAAAACGCGCATCTCCATACTTCATGAGAGTCACGAAGAGGTGTTGATTGTAATTGCTGGTTGGAGGAGGGTGATTTCGAAATGCAGTTCTCCCGTCTTCGAGTTGGCGATGACAATGGAGGTGAAGTTTTTGTCTCTCCCTCTGAATCTGACGAGGAAAAACCCACAACCCTGCGGCGTTTACGACTCCCGCCTGAGCTCCCCTTGTTGGTGCTGGTAGTGACCGCGGCACCCTAGAATGAACTTTACGCCGTTCATGATAAAAAGCCTCCAAATACTACGCGTTCCATTAAACAAAAAAACAGCAAAGATCAAAACAAGAACAACTAGCAACGAGATATGCAAAATTCTGCCAAT